CTAAAATAATAGACTAGCGATGATGTTAACTACTGTCATCAATAACAGGAAAGCAAAGTGGAATTTGTTCTCATTAGTTAATATGACCCTGTTATTGATACTAATAGCATCCATACTCTGTTGAGACTAAAACTCGTAGGACATATTATGCTTTTTAAATAGATAGCCCTAAGGGCCAACCAAATAGCTCAGTAGATTAAAGCACCTGCAGTCAGGCACAGGGGCCAGGGGTTCAATCCCCAGGCCTGCCATGCCGGCCCTGCCCCCCAGGTGTGCTGAGACAGCATTTGAGACTGGGCATGGTGGTGCACACCTGTAATCCCAGTTCTTGGAAGGCTGTAAATGGGCAGATCACTATGAGTCAGAACTAGTAGTGAGACCCTGAACACCCTGTAGACCCTTCCCTAAAATACAATAAATAAATAAATAGGTAGCCCTTTTATTACTTTTAACAGTGTAAATAGAATTTAAGTGATGTCTTTCCAAATTACAGTACTTCTCAGATTTCCAAAGTGAACAGAATTTTAATTTCTCATTTAAAATGTAATTCCTAACCAGTGAAGTCATCCTAAAAATAGAAGATAGGATTTTCTTAATGGGTATCAAAATGAATAACTTCTTTCCTTCTTGACTTTGCCCCTATCTTACCAACTTTTCTGAATTTTTCCATGTAAGGCATACTGCATATCATTTATGAGATAAAGCCTGGTGAGCAGCAAAATAGACACTTTTTGTGAAACCCGATTTGTGCTAACCTGAAATCAAATGTAATCTTCATTTTAATATTTATACTTCCTTATATTGTTATGAACCTATTCTTAACATGAGTTTGATTTTGTTTCTCTCCTCCTTTACTTCTGTGAAATGCAGAAGGAAAGAGATATTTGTTATTCACACATTTGCACCCCCACTAACTGATGTTGCACATCTGGCTTCCACTGGAGAGCCCCTGACATCCCAGGGAACGGTGATCAAAATTCCACACATTAGCTTCAAGCTGGGGGCTCGTAGCTACTGCAGCATTGAAAGGGAATCTTTTCCTGGCTTCTTTAAAATAAGCATGGTGATGGGATGGTTTAAGGGAAGAACACCTCTCAAATCACATGACCACTGCTGTGCTTCTGTGTGTCCTGCTTTCTTCATAACAGCTTGGCACTACATTCTTTCCCTGTATCTTAGTGGGCTTGTGTGTATGTATGAGTGGGGTGGGGATGCAGGAATGTAAATGGATGATGATACATTATGCATGCATCCTTCACCATTAGAGTGTGCCTTCCCTTATATGTCACAAATTATACTCACATTAAATCTGTGTCCTGAGAGATTGGGCCGTCTCTCCCTTTTCGTGTGAGATCTATATGTTTTGGTGTGTTTTGGTGTTTACACCCTCAATTATTCTTCATGTTGCATTAACTATAAGTTGAAATGTTCTCCAATAAGAGTTAGCTTTTCATGTTGGGCTGAAAAAGTCTTCATTTCTATGTAGCAATTCATCTTATTATAACCTATGGCTTTCAATTGTACCTCCCATAATGAAGAGCTGACTTTAAACACTGTGCTATTCTTGTTATGACCTAAGCATAAGGTAAGTGATTTCTCTAACTGTATCTAAAAATTATAATTGTTTCTTAAAATTTCTCAGCTTTTTAAAGGCATTTTTGCTTTTGTTCCATACCATTTATTATGTGCTTTTCCCTCCTTTGTTTTCTATTTTATATTTTAATGGCTAATGTGATCTTCAGCAAAAATTAGATTGCACACGTAAACACATCTTGAAATAAATACTTGATGTTTCAAAGCAATCTTAATTAGTAATGAATAATTATTTTTAGTATGTCTCATGTTTTTTATTTCTTCCATTAACTTTAACATATTGTTTATACACATTATTTTAGTTTGATTCCAATTGAAAGGAAAATTGTCAGTACTATAAAGTCAGTCAGATATTAATTGTAGTAAAATAACATGACCCAATAGGATAAAGAGGTAGATAATGTGATATCATGCCCTTCGTTTAATCTTTCCTTTTAATCCCTTACAGGTTTTATATTAGCCCAGAATCTCAGGGGTTTGTTTTTTTTTTTCAGACTTTTTTTTTCCTACCATTAAATAAAGCCAGGTAACAAAGAAAACATACCATAAAACTGAAGACAGACTTTTTACCTTCTTTATATGTGAGAACAAGAGTAAGAACGATTTTATTCTTACAAGTAAATCCCATTGTGAGTTAGGTAAATAATGTTTATACTGAGATTTTATAAAATTATGTAAATATAAATATGACCAGTTTCATAGTACAAGAGCATCTCATTCACTGTATACATAAAAAGTAAAGAAAGTTTTTAAAAATCATTTTCTTTGGTGTTGTAAATATATATATTTGTAATCTCGTAATGTCATTTTAAAATTGATTTCCCTCAAATCTGGTTCAAATAGGCAAGGTAACAAAGATGGGAAAATTGGCTATACCACTGTTGACAATTTGAGAACCTGAATAAATTCTTCTATGCAAGGAATTGGATTGCTTTGATTATGCCATTGTCTCTTCCAAAACTGTTAAAATCTTGTTCTAAATGAGGATATCACAAAACAACACACATTTCTTTATTAAATTCATATTATGAAAATTTTTTTGTTAATTTCTTAAGCCTCCTAGGGAAGGAGAGAGTTTTGTTGTTTCGTTTGCTTTTGGTTTTTTTGTTTTATTTGTTTTTTAACCAGCTAACTTTTCACTACCATTTTCATTATGTGCATTATCTAATGTATATAGTAGACATTAGATAAATCTTTTGAGCATTTTATGAGACAATTTAAACTACTCATCTGAACTGCTCTGTTCATTATAAATCTTTTGTTTCTATCCATACACTAGCTCCACTCTAGATTGGAAGGGCTTAAAGATGAACTCTGGAGGAGTAGAGGCTACGACTTAAGAGTAACTATTACTGATCAAAGGAGCTACTTTTCCATTCGCAAACATTGCTTTGCGCTATGGGTTTGGGCTCCTTCTGTTTCACATCTTGTTGAAGACTTTCTTGACTTCCATTTGACTTCTTTGAACTGTTTTTGTCACAGCATTTTCCTTTCTTTTCCCTCTCACCTGGATTTTTCTCTCACACTTTTAGCATTCTCTTGTGTCCTTTGAATCACTTCAAAACATAGTTTCTTTCTTTAGATTTGTCTGTTAATGTGTTTCTTTTCTTCTTTAAGATTGTAATAATGTAACTTATTTTCATTCCATAGTATGCCAACTTGCTTATTTATTTTGCAGCAAGTTCATTAGTCATTCTAACCCTCTTGGTATGAATTTTTAATAAGAAATTATAGAACATCCATTTGCACACTGTCCCCTACTATAAGCTTAGAGTTTTCTTTTTCTATCACCTAGATTTGTTCCCTGGACCTCTCCCTTTTCCATATTCTCATGTCTTCCCTATACATTTTTCTTTAAGCTATCATTAATTTATTTCCCATTTGGCCCAGAATTGTTCTCTAATCAGACTCCTAAGTAAAAGAATGTAAGAATTTTATCTTCCAGATTGGCTTCTTCATTCTAGTATATTTAGAACTAGTTGAGCAATTCGGGCTAAAAGAGAATAGCTTTAACATGTGGAATTATTTTTCCTCTTGTTTTCCTTTTTGGGGTATGCGTATGTGTGGGTCCCCTCCTCCTTGTCTGTATGTTTGTGACATTTTTTATTGTTGTTTATTTAAACATTAACAATTGTTTTTTTCAGGAAAGGATAACCATACCCACCCTAAGTTACAACATTCCTTTCATAAGTTGTTTCATACAACAGTAGATTGTGTTAAACTGTAGAAGTTAACTTGTACATATATCCATTGGGGCAAGCTGCTGTGGAGTGGGAAGAAGAGGTGTGGAACTTAAATATATTTGTGTCTAAAATTAACATTAATGCCATCCACTATGGCCCTTGAATGCAAGTTTTATAACCATTAGAAGAATGATACACTTTGACCTAAATATTTGAATCAGACCATATGGTTTCTGATTGATAAATTACATACACACCTAACAACTAGTAAATAAATAAGTTCAATTTCATTGATTTCCAATGGAATCTTTCATAATCAGTAAAGTTATAATAAATTAACTATAATCAAATCACAAAGGTTATTAGAATTAATGCAAAATATTTCATATGTCACTTTCTCTATTTCCTCTCAATAGCATATATATAGTACTAAAAAATAACTACAAAAAAATAAAATAAAATAAAAAATGACTACAATGAAATGTTGGATTACATATTTATTACTTGAATTTTATTATAATTCTAGTTAAAGGATATGGTAAATTCTTTATGATTAAGGATTTGTATTTACAAGTGAATATATAGTAACTTGAATTTTTTCCACTTATAATCATCTCTCAATATTGATGGAGAATTGGTTTTGGTACCCCTGTGAATACCAAAATCCAAAGATCCTCAAATCCTTTTTATAAAATAGCAAAGTATTTATGTAAAACCTCTGTATATCCTCCTTTATACTTAAAATCATGTCTAGATTATTTGTAATACCTAATACACTATAAATGCTGTATAAATGATTGATGCACTACGTTTATACAATATAGATGCAGGGGTTTTTCTAATATTTCTGTACAGTGATTTGTCAAATTCATGGATAAATGTCGAGGGCCAGCAGTGCTGACTTCAGATGAGACTGGGCACATTCAGGGTGGTATGGCCATTGATTACGGTACCAATTTCAAATGCACATAAGTAAAAACTTCCTTTGGTTATATCAAAATATCCAATTCTTGATATTATACCCATCTTTTTTTTCAGAAATTGTTTTTTAAGGAAAGGATGAATATATATAAAACAAATATAATGCATTTTTACTAACATGTTATGACAGCAGATATTTATGAAACCTCGGCTCCTAGACCTCAGGAGCTTGCCCATTAAGTATGCATATCTGGCTATCTGTATTTTGCATCCTCAATTACTGAGTTTATGCTTTCTCTGCAGGTCCAGTCCAGGTGCAGCAGCAAGGAAAACATTCTCAGAGCCAGTAAGTATTTCATCACTTTAGGTAGGCTACTGACCTAAATACCATGAATCAACAGAAAATAAAGCTAAAATGAGATTTTGATGAAGTGAAGAATAATAATGTGGACATATTATGTTAAGAATATGAATATTAGGGTTTTTACTTAAAGATATTTGTTAATATATAACAAATGTTATTAATTTTTTTAATGTGAAATGTTTCCCTTAAGTATTTGCTAGCAAAGCTTTGATGCATTCTTAATAGGGTAGAAATGAGCTCCTTTATGATCCAAACCCCTAACAGCCAAATAAGTTATATATATGACTCTGTGAGGGTGCATCTTAATCATTTCGTGAATATGAATACTGAAAGATTTTAACTTAAATAAGCAGAGTAAGTTTTGGAACATTACACCCTGAACCAAGGCTGAAAAGCCTGTAGTTTCATCTTTCATAGTGTTAACTTTAAAGTCATTTAGCTTCATATACTATATATATTATATTGCATATTATTCATTTTCCTATTTTATCAAAATAAATTCCAAATTGCATTTCCTTCTGTATCCTTAAGATTATATCATATGGGACATTTTCCCTAAGAGCTTTATGATCATAAGAGAGAAGTACATTATAAAGGCTAATATATTTTATTGTTATTTGTCACTTAATAGCTTAATGACATGTTTCCATCTTCTTTCTGATCTTTATGAAGAGAAGTACAAGTGAGACATACTATAATGGGTCTACTCAAAACCCCTACTATTGGGGGGTTTAGTAAATGGAATGATTTATATTTCTACCAGTATGTCAGTAATTTATAACAATCAAAGAGTAATTGGAAGGGCTGGGGAGATAGCTCAGTGGCATAAGCACCTGCCTAGCAAGCACAATGTCTTGAGTTCAATCCCCATTCTAAAAAAGAAAAAAAAGAGAGAGAGAGAGAGTAATTGGAGAATTTCAAAAAAATAAAATCTGTTTTATTTTATTTAGTATAAATTTTTCCCACTTCTTTTTTCTAAATCAGTTAATTTAGCTCAGAACCCTTGGGCAGGCACACTGCAATTGTTTGCCCAAGCCATATGTATTAGATAAAAAAGAACTTCCATCGTGTCTGAAGCCCTAAGTTCAATCCCTAGGACAGCTAAATTGTACGTACATACAAACCTACTAACAGACAGGTATACTTTCACAGGTTTCTGTATCGTTTGCCAGATACATGAATCTGAGGAAAGCTCTTCAGTAAGGAGATGTAAAATCCTATAATCCCTTACTGAGACCTAAGATAGAGAAATCTGAGGGTCAGATGTATGATGACTTCCACTTATTATTGCTCCTGAAATGATGACGGGTTACTGATGTAGACTATGGTGATTAAAAACAAAAATGATTTCTTAATGAGCATAGATTTCTTGAATCTTCTTTCACTTCTGTCATGGATTGTTGTGTGGCTAGAACCTTCTTTTAGGTATTTCTTACTGGTTTCTTGGGTAATAATCAGTTTGGGTGAATATCATGATGATCAAGTTTTATTGATCTTGTTTTCTTGTGGTGAAATAATTCTGTAGATGTCCTTTATTGTGATTTATATCATAGTCTTGTGACTTCTGCAAGTTTATGACCTTTCCCAAGAAAACCAAGTTAATAACTTATTCTCATGCCATGGCCTCACTCAGGACTCAGGACCATAGATTGTTTTTTCTCTGAACTTTTTAACTAAAATCCCCCATTGTTTAGATTGTTTCTATGTTTTTGTTGTGTGCTATACTGAGGTCGTCTAGAACCTGTTAACCTTTCTCCTCTCTTTTCTTTTCAACCCAAATCCCCTTCTTCGAGCCCAATCCTCACATAAACTGTCCATGCCTTGTTTTCCTCTAAAGCTTTTTCTTATCCTTTTTAGTTCAGGTATGATTCCTCTGAGTTCTCTGCAATCGCAATGCTTAATCCTTTCATATCCCTACTGTTTCTTGTAGTGTAATAATTTTTCACTTATTTATTACATTAACTGTTCTCAAGGAAAACATTTCCAATCTGTAGGCAGCATAAGGAAAATTAATGTACGTAAAAGTATATATAGCATAATATATCCAGATTCTAGAGGGAGAAAAATAGTAAGAACTTAATACAATTTACCTAAATTGTCGAAGGAAGAGATAACTTTGGTTGCTTTGTCAAAGGAAACAGTAACTTTTCTTTTATTCTTTAAAAATACCATGAAAACAACCTGTTAAGTTTCACCAAATTCTTAATCTCAGAGTCTCAGAAAGCAAAGGACAAAGTCAAAATATATTTGAGATTTTGAAGTTTGTTTATTATTGTTGGACATCCATTTATTGATTCATTTGATGAGGCAACAGCTATACAGCAGCACTTAGAATTTAGTTATGCTGCCCACAAATCAAAAGGCTTATCATGAGAGATTGTGCTCCTTTTATTAAAGTGCTATACATGTCTAAGTCAAGCCAAGATAATAGACATCATCTTTAATATAATAATAAGGTTTAGAGGCCAGGGATATACCTCAGCAGCACAAGTACCTTCCTGACAAGCACAAGATCCTGAGTTCAAGTCCAAGTACAAAAAAATAACAATAAGGGTTAGAATAACTCAATATAAGAATAGAATAAGATAAAGGGTGTTAACCAAACTACTTAATTTTATGGTTATTTTCTGAACATTTTTGCAAGATCAAAGATCCCAAAGAAGACTAATAGAGATATAAAACATTCTTATCTTAAAGCGGCATATGAGCAGCACATTATTCCTTAAGAGGTCAATATTGTATTTAATGCCACTGAGCCACTGTTTTTCTAATCTCATGAAGTTTTCATGTGAGGAGTTCCTTAACCTTGCTGGCAATATCTGACTCACCTGGTCTTCCCTGCATCAAAACATTTGGAATCCTCCCTGCTTCCTAGTAAATTTTGACAGCAAAGGCACAAATTCATGAATTGCTTTGGATAGCATTACCATCTTAGCAGTATTAAGTCTTGTAGCCAGCGTTCATTTACTGTAAGCATGAGGTTCACTCTTACATAACAGGGATTTTTTTACATTTTCACTAAGCCAAAGCACATGAGTGTCTGGTAGAGGTTCCACTCCCAATCACAAAGTGACATGTGTATTTATTTCTGGAGAAACTTATCACACAAATCTCTCTGCCACTTCTTACCTCAGAGGTGAAAATACCACACCATTGTTAAACTTGAGACTAGCATGAACCACTATGCCAACTCTATGTTTTTCTCCCAAGCTGCTTCTCCATTCAGGATCCAGGGCCATTCAGGCCAGACTTTGCACCAGCTTTCTAATAGGCTACCACACATTCTCCAGCAGAGGTCAGGATCCTGTGCGCATAGTACACCTGACTTCCTTACAAAGGGCTTCAGATCAGTCCCCAATAAAAGGATCTGAGGGTGAAGGTTTAAAAACACTTTAGAGTTTACACTGTTTTCAATGCTTTCACATTACTACCTTAGAGCTCAGCATTTATTTTAGAGGGCTAGGGAGGTCCTTCAGTGGTAGTGTATATTTAACATGTGGAAGACTTGGGATTGATCCCCAGGACCACTCATAAAAAAGGGGAGGATCTTTTTAAATTTAATTAATGTTTGAATGTGAGATATAGTGACTGTATATATTTGTGAGGTATAGTGAGTGTGACATTTCATTTCAAATGTACAGTATGTAAAATTGGATCAAGGGTAATTGGGGTGTGTGTGTGTGTGTGTGTGTGTGTGTGTGTGTGTTGGTTATTTTTAGTTGAATGAAAAACAGCCTTTTCCAAGGGTGACAAAGGGAACTGAAGGGCAGAAGGAAGCTAGGTGTAGGCTTCTCAGCAGCTCCTGCTCCACAATCTGGCAGCAAGGGGGGCCCTGCTGGAAGCCGGGTGCAGCACAGTGACCCCCAGAAGGGAGGGTGGAACTGCTGGGCCACTCTGGTCCCTGGAGTGGTTGGGGAGGGCTTCCAAGGCAGCCAGCCACTTGACATGATTAATGCTGTTATTCTTGGGGGGCATTAAATTAAGGGATGACAAAGGGAGTCAAGAGAGTGGCTTATTCAGATGGGTTCTGAATCACAATCAGGAAATAGTCTTTATCTGGTGTGACCATTATTTAATTTTTCTTGGAGCAAATTTGGAGGAAAGTGAGGTTATTCTGGGGGTCAATTTCACACACTGTGCTCCATGCCTTCAAGATGAAGTTGTGCATGAGGTTGGCATACTGGGTGGTGGTAGGATTGTCCATGGTACTCTTGATGGGAATGCCTTCTGTGTTCATCATGATTCCTTGCACTCCTTTCTGGCTCTGAAGTAATTTCAGTATCTCTTCCATCTCTGCCATCACTGGCCAATCCAGTAGCTCCGCGTCGCCAACTCGCAGCTCAGTCCCACCTCAAGTTTAAAGATTCTTCTGTCTGATCCACTCACTTGATGTTCACTATTGCATCTTTTTATTCCATTCACTGTATAGTTCAGCTCTAGAATTTCTCTTTGGTTCTTCTTATGATTTTTAACTCCTTTTGAACTTATGTGTATTATTTTTCTGATTTTATTATGTGTTCTCCTTTAAGTTCACTAAACTTCCATAAAAGAATTGCTTTGAATTCTTTTCAGGTAATGTATTTGTAATTTTTCAGGTCTTATGTTTTGTAGGGATTAGTTACTGGAACGTGCTTGTGTTACTTTAGTAGTCTCAAATTTCTTTGAAATCTTTTTTTCTTGCCTTGGATTCATACCTACACATCTGATAAAATGTGAGCTGGATGGAATGTGGCCATTCTGGCTCCAATGAGTGCACAGAGGTATAGTCCATCAATTCAAATCAACATCAGCCAAAATCTCAGTTCTCAATGGCCGAAAGTTGTGGGTGTCAATAACAGTGATGAAAGATACTGATGTTTTTAGTGCTAAACAATGCTAGAATTATCCTGTTCTCTTTTTCTCCCGTGAAGAATATTATGGCTTTGGGATCCCTCTTAGCACTGGATCAAGCTCATGGCACCAGTAGCATAAAAATCTGAGGC